ACTATTATGATACATTAAAATTTATAGTGCAGTACAGTACAGAATATGACGAACCCTTTGTCCATGATTGCAGCTGTGGCCAAATCTACATAATTTTGTGTGTACTTGAAAAACATAACCAGCAATCACATGCAATTATGAATCGATTGAAGTAAATGCACCAGTGCAATAACATCATGGACAGGATTATAGAATAACCTTGCTTGTTCAAACTTGTTGCTCTGACTGAGCCAGCCACTGGTCCATTAAACTGTTGGACCTGTTCAAGCTTGTTACTGGGAAGAGCCTGATACAACAAGATCAGTAGGCTTCAAGCATGGGGGAAGACAAGGTCGTTGATTTTATTATCAATTAAATGAAAAGGTTTCAAAACACTAAGTTTGAATAAATGATTTTTTTATGTTAATTTTCTGGTAGTTTTTACTAACTAATTATAGGTTTTATGAATAATTAATTTCAATTATAAATGAGAAAAAGACTGTGATTGCAAACTGAAAATAACATAAGGTGGACATGACATTAAACTGTTTCACTGTCTGTGCTAATACAAAATTAACATTAATTTTGGGTTAGGTAGGATATAAATTTTGGTGGGTTGGCCCACAGAAAAATATTTCAATCGTAATGCGGCCCGTGATTGAGGAAATGTTGCCCATGCCTGATGTACAGTATATATATTATAAGAGAGTACGACATTTGAGTGGTTAATAAGGACGTTAAAGCAGTTTGGAAAAAAATTAAAAAATATTCTACATGTAATATACTGTATATACTTGTATATATGCTACGTATCTTACCATTCTCTCTTTCCTAGCAAGAGATACTTCTAATCCTGCAGCTGATGACAACCTATCTTTCAGACTTGCCATTTCCACCTCCAAAGCAGCCTTTTCAACCATCAGGGTTGTAGTCTGATATGTTTACCAAAGACAGCATATTGAAGCATATAGAAAAAATTTGGAATAACTACAAGCTAGTTTTTTGCAAAGGAATTCTAGTGCAAAAATATAAGTTTGACAAATACAATACTGTACCTAGTTTGTGTGGAGATTCCCTTTCTTATAATAGCAACCATCACTTAATATTTGCCAAATTGGGTAAATAAAGAAGTAGGTTGGAGCAATGCTCATACACTTGAATACAGTACAGTATTAGTATTAGGGATTCAAAATTCTTGGCATCATGAGAATTTCAGAAAATTGAGACCTCTATTCCAGAAACTCATATATTGTATTATATATATATATATATATATATATATATATATATATATATATATATATATATATATATATATATATATATATATATATATATATATATATATATATATATATATATATATATATAAATCATTTTGACACAGTGTGATCACTGGTGTGGGATGCGTACATGAATGCCAATACAAACAACAGTATATTTAGGCGCAATAAGATGGAAAAATACGTACTGTATTAAACAATCCTATCAATAAAAAAATTGCACTGAATTATTACTTAATATGACAGAGCATACTGTGTAATTGTCCCACAATATGACAGATTCCATTGTCTGCTCCAGTAAGCAAAGGGACTGACAGTAGCATGATGTTTCCAAATCATATTTTGTTGCTGGTTTCGTTCTTTCACAAGTTTCATCTTCACTAAACTCACTTTTGGTACATAGATACATGCTGCAGCAAGAAAAATAAATAATTTAGGGAATTTCCTCTCTTAACAATCATCAAGTGTTATTACATTCATTCAGTGAGCAGTAACCAATTGAGGTAAACAATGTTAGTCATGCACTGCAGTTTACCAAGCGCCCAGATAGCCCAAATTTTCCTTATTTATTCTGAAGTTGTACAGTACTGTACAGTACTGTATATGGAAAACATTATTGCCACCACCATCAACATTTACTGCCACTTTCCATACTTGCATGGGTTAGCCGCGATTACCTGAGGGTAGCTCTCTATGCTTTACAGCCTCCTGCAGTCTTAGTTTTCAGGTTCTTAACTCACAATAGCATTTCATACAATCCCCCTCCATGTCATTCTTGGTCTGCCTCTCCACATTTAGGCCCATGTATCTCTTGACCTAATTTGTCTCATGCATTCTCTACACATGCCTAAAATTCTCGGCCAATGCCAGTACAGTATTCTCAATACTCAGCCATCCTCTTAGCTCTGAACAGGGTCTCCTGTCTTTGTCACATTGCACATCCATCTCACCCTTCCCGTTTCAGTTTCCTCAAGCCTGCTAATGTCATCCTCTTTAACTGCCCATGTTTCACTGACATACTACAACACACTCCTCACACCTGCCACAAACATTCTTCCTTTCATGTGGAGAGAAAGTCCTCTTGCTGTCAATAAAGGAGCAGCTCTTTAAACTTCTTACAGACACTTCTGCCTCTTGCAACTGAGCAGGCATCAGTACAACCACTGGCACTGATCATGTCACCTAGGTAACAGAACTCATCAATAAAGTCCAGGGATATATACACAATGTTGAGTTTATCCAGCCTTGTTATGAATGTGTAGTTGTTTGTGCATACAGACACTTAAAAGTCAGCAATATCCTATACTGTAGTCTAACATCTACTGCACTGCATTTCCTGTGTACCCTCTTTCCACTCATTACACATTACTGAATTGCTGCCAACATCTTTCTTACAGACAGCACATGGCCATTTTCCTTTGTCCACCACAGGTCCTCACCCACTTTATACTTTGTCACATTCACTCTTAGGTCCTTTGACTATTCTATCCTCTATTTCTAAAAATTATTCACTGCTTCTTCAATCTACCTGCTTTTAGCAGTAAGTCATCATCATACAACAACTACCAGGGTAGACCAAACCTAAAGTCCCATGATACTGCCTCCTACACCTTGATAAACAGAAGGAGGCTCAAGACAAACCCCTGTTGGACCCCTACTTTCACCTCAAATTCCTCACCATTTACATTCACAGAGGTCTTTGAGCCCTCATATAAATGCCATAACCACTCAAACAAGGCACTCCAAAACCCTATACCCAAGATTTCCTATTTAGGCATAAGGCTATAATTGTAGTTACAGAACATAAGTTAGGAGCAATACCACTCATTATTTTTAAAGATTTTTCCATTTCAAAATACAGTGGGGTATGCTATAACGAATCTAATTGGTTCTAGAACCTTGTTCGTTATAGCATTCGTTTGTTATAGGATTAATCCGTTCCAGGCCCCCAAATACAACCACTTAACACTGAAAAATATAATATAAAATTGTAAAAATTTTAATAAAGTGCATAAATATGCATCTAAACCCCTGAAATAAAGAATATCATTAATATTTGTAATAATAAAACAATAAATTATTAAAAAAAATAAATAAATAAAATTTAAATTATGTTCGTTGTAGGAGTTTCGTTCGTTATAGCATTCTCAATTATATAGGTAAAAGCGTTCGTTATAGGAATATTCGTAGTAGGATCCGTTCGTTATAGCATACCCCACTGTATTGGCCTCAATCTTAAAGAAATGCTCCTGTGGTCAAATTCACATTATTTTTCTGCACTCTTTTTCCTGCTTCCCTTTTAACTTGTGTTTCCTTCAAGGGGTTAAAAATTAGTGACTACAGTGGTCCCTCCGTTAACGAACTCTTCGATTAACAAAATTTTGGTTAACAAATTACCTTCCATAAGAATCTTCAATTCGGTTAACGAACAAAAATTTGATTAACGAAATCCTTACGAAAATCATGTTTTGTTTTGAACATCAGCTGATCAGCTGAGGGGGTACTCAGCCAATTCAGTAATATGTTCTATGTTTATATTCATTTCCAATGGAGTAATTATCAATAAAGTTGTGCTTTATAATATTTAAGCATGTTTTCTATTAAAATTATTAGTCATTTTAACATTTATTTAACATACTGATAATATATGCAGTACAGGGAACTAGTTAGATGTGCACCCATCAGATGTGTGGGTCAGCCACCTGGTGTCAGTCTGGCTCTGTTTTCTGTGGAGACAGCACCTATTTTGTTGGTATCTTGAATATTTTTGCATTTTTCTTTGAACTTCAGTTAACATATTGGTAATATATAGCACAGTGCAGTGTTGATTTAAAGAAAATAATCTTGAATTACACCTAGTGAACTTAAAATTTTATTGGTGAAATGAGGCATGAAGCATGGGTCCCCTGAAAGGTGATTTCTCCTCCATCCCCACTTCCTTCCCTTCTCCACCCCACTTCTAATTCCCATCATCATCATCATCAACCAGGAGCCTTCTACATACACACCTCAAAGTAAGTATACTTTACTGCAGTTTTTTAATACTTTGTATGTACTTTTCGGTGAGCTGGAACCAATTACCCAATATCCCATTGAAACAATGGATTCGGTTAAAAAATTTTTTGGTTAACAAACGACCTTCTGGAATGAATTGTGTTCGTTAACGGAGGCACCACTGTACTGTATTTTGTTTACATAAATGCCACACCAGCACGCTTAAAATTCAACATTTGTTTCAATCCTTCTTTCATTCCTACAGTAAGCATAGGAATGACTATTGGCTAAAATGTTTTGACATGAATTCCCAAAAGAAACACATTGTCTCCACAATAAATCTTTTTCACATGACACAGCAGGGAAGCATCCAAATTTATGACAACTTTTTTTTTTTTTTTTACAAAATACCTTATAAGCTAAATGTGTGAAAATGGCACTTCATCATTACATTTAACAGAAACTGTAATGTGAAAACTTCTTGAATCAGAAAATATCTCTCTTTCAATCAGGATACTTGTATAATATTTATCAAGCTACAGTATGCACAGTTTCCTCAATTGTTTTATTTTCTGTATTTAAAAGCCCAAATGACTTTAAGGAGCTTTCTTGAAACAATAAGGTCCCTGTAAAGTGAATTACAGTTCATGCATACTCTAATGATGAATGAACTATAACCCACATTAAGCAGAAAACAGATGCTACTATACTGAATTCCACAGGTTTAACAGAAAAAATCCTTACCTCATTCACTTTGTTGGCAAGATTTGCTTGGGAAACTAGAAGATTTTCTCCCACAACATGCAACTCTCCCTTCACCTTGGCCAGGTCATCACATCCTTTGGCAGCTTCTTCTGACTTCACAAACAAGTCATTTTTCAGAGTTTCAACCTCCCCCTCTTGCTTACATTGTTGCTGCTTTAGTGCCTGTATAGCCTTTTGTAGCATTTCTATTTCTCCCTTTTGGTTTTCTAAAATCTTACTCTGGGTCTGAATTTTTACATCAACTAAAGAGAGTGTGTTTTTTGTGTCTCCTAAATTCTTGACAAGCTGTTCTTTTTCTACTAGCATATCTTTTGACTTTGACTTCAAATTATCAATTTCCGAAGTCATCTGCTCCTTATCTGAAGCATGCTGGCTAAGTTGAGATGACAAACTGTCATTCCTACAGGATATATCTGCATTTTTATCCTGTAGCACTCTTACTTCCATGACTAGATTCCTATTTTCTTGCAACTGTTGTTCATTTGTCTTAATGAGCTCATCTTTTTCAGACATCAACTTTTCCTTAAGTGATGTCATATTTTTAATATTGGAATGAAGATCATCAATATCCATCTCACTTTGTTCAACCATGGTTTTATACTGCTGGACATTTACTGTTAACTGTTCTTTTTCTACCTTTAGAACTTCTATTTCACCTTGAAGATTCTGTTGCTCAGAATCACTTGTACTCTTTTGTAAGACTAAATCTTCAGCATTCTTCAGAAGCTGCTCTTTTTCTGTAAGCAAGAACTCTTTCTCTGAGTGCAAGCTTTCTTTTTCCCTCAAAGCTTTTTCATTATTTAACTGTAACTCTTCATTTTTAGCAAGCAATTGCAGTTTATCACTGAAGATATCATCTTTTTCAGCTAACAATTTTAGTTTTTCTATTTCCAATGCCTTTTTCTCAGACAGTAGTCCATTCTTTTCTTTCAAGAGCTGTTCCATCTCATCTTGTAGTCCCTCCTTTTCAGACATTAAATGCAATTTCTCATTCAAGATCAAATTTCTTTCAGAATGTAAATCTGCTTCTTGCTTTACCAATGCTTCATTTTCAGATATTAGACCATTTATCTCTTTCTCTACTTCTTTAATCTTAGATTCTAATTCCTCCTTTTCAGATACTAGCTGCATCTTATCATTTAATATGAAGTCTTTTTCCAACTTTAACTCAGAGTTTTGACTCACTAATACTACTTTCTCGGATAGTAATTCATCCTTTTCCTTCTCCAAATATTCAATCTTTGATTGCATTTTATCTTTTACATTGAGTAGTTCTTCCCTATCATTTAAGATATAGTCTTTTTCCAACTGTAGCTTCTCTTTATCTGAGTGAAGTCCCATGTTTTCATTGAAGATCTTATCTCTTTCAGTAGCAATGGCATTGTATTTCAATGTTAATTCGCCCATAGAAGCCAAAATTTGTTCTTTATCAAGGGACAATGTGTCAGATTCAGAGGCTTTTATTTTCCTCTCAGCTTCTAGAAGTTCAATTTGAGATGTAAACTCAGCACATTTTATGTGACTCTGAGTAACCTCATCCCGAAGTTCTTTTATTGTGTCCAAAAGCCTTTCTTTTTCCTTTTCTAATGCATTCTCAGAGTGATTTTTTTCCATCAAAACCTCAAGATCATTGCATTTCTTCTCTAAATTATAATTGTCTTCATCTAGTTCCTTCATATTTGCCTTCAGTTTTTCTAGTTCCACTAATTTCAAATTGTTTTTTTCAAGCAAGGACTGCAAGCCCTGGTTCTCTGTGATAAGGGTCTCATTCAGTAGAACTACCTCGGTGTTTCTCGCAATAAGTTCTTTATTTCCTGACATCACTTCCTCTAGCCTATGTGAGGCATTGTAACTTTGATTTTTCAATTCTTGTTTGGCTTTCAGAAGATCCCCATTCTCAATCAATAGTTCAGCTTCCCTTTTATGCAAAGTTTCTGTATTAGACTTGAGAACATCATTTTGGCCCATCAGATCAGTTACCTCATTCTTTAATTCTTCAATCATCACTGTAAGCTCATCATTCTTGCTAATGAGCAAATCATTCTTAGTGGCCAACTCATCATTTTTTGAACTGAGTTCTTCATTCAAGAAAGCAAGTTCTTCACTTTTGGTGTGGCTCTCCTCAAACTCATGATCAATGTTGTTCTGTTTATCAAGCATCTTGTCAAGCTGTTCTCTTAGGCAGTTATATTTTTCTTGCAGATTATCCCGGTCTTTCTGTAGCCTAAAGAATTAGAGAAAAGAATAAAAATTAGGAGCTTGTATTTGTACAGCCTGTATTAATATAGAAGTATCATTTACAAATAATACTGTACCAAAAAGATTTAGTTATCTGTATTGCCTACTACAAAAATAAGACTAATATTATTGTACATTTTCCAACAAAAGGCACCTGTTTATCACTAGTTCAACTTATATAAACTTTTATTACAATACCTGAGAGCTTTTCAAATTACACTCTAGGGCTTAACCTCAGACAGAGAAGAATTAACAAACAGATGAACAAAATCCATTTCTAAATGTCATTAACTTCAGTGAGAAGGGTGATGAATAAAAATGTCAGAATTTAAATGTACGTACTCTTAAAAAGGATTTGAATTATGGATATCATAATGTAGTAGGGTCGGGATATATAGCGACTTTATATATAAAAAAATTTATATCACGGCTAACAAAATTATCGACATTTTCTTATATATATAGCAATAATTTTTTTTATTTTGCAAGGGAGATCGGGCAAAAAATATTTCAAACTTATCATAACTACCAAAATTATAAAAATTTTCTAATATACAGTATAACGATAAATTTATTTACAGTAGACTCACAACTTACGTGGGGTTATGTTACCTGGGGACCTCACATAAAACCAAAAATCGTACAAAGTCAGAAACACTCCTAAAAATCCCATAAATTGCCCCAAAAATACGAGTTGAAAAACTGTACAGTACAGGCACTCCTTGACTTATGACCACCCGGACATACAACCGCAGCAGTCATATAAAATATTTTTCAAATTACGTATTTTCGAGTCCCGACGTTAGTGATCGCGCTGTGTACTGACAAAATTTTCGTTTGTAATTCCCTTTAAAATGGCTGGCAAGCGTAGAAGTGAGAGTTCTCGTGGTGCTGAGAAGAAAAAGAGACCCATTTTAGATTTTCTATTTATTATTTTCGCATTTTCGACTTAGGGCCTGGTCGTCGGTTCCTAACCCCGTCGTAAGTCGAAGACTGACTGTATACTACTTAAATGTAATCTAAAAGACTAAAAATTTTATCTCATGCAAAATATATGATGCATATATTCAAATTATTTGCTGTCTTGCAAGGATTCCAGCAATGCAATTTATTTTCTGCTAACTTTAGTCTGTGACATTTTATAAGATAAAAACTTTAAGCCTAAAACCACTTTCAATCTTGCTAGAAGTGGAGGGGAAAATGATGTATTATGACAGCTGGCACCAGCCCCCGGCCAAGGTTACCTAATGGTATTTATTTCTGTCATATAGGGGGAGTTTATATTTTTCTCTTATAAAATGTCAATGAATTGACGTAAGAGAATATAATTAACATGGCTGGAATTCTTGTAAGATAGTGATTAATTTGAATATAAACAAGCTATAGTTTTCACTAGACATAAATTTTTTAGTAATAATTTAATACATTTTAGTACAAAGGAATAAATTTTTTATCTCTTGTGCAAAATATATGATGTATTGTATATATTTAAATTATTTGCTGTGTTGCAAGGATTCCAAATGCAAATTATATTCTGCTAACTTTAGACTGTGATTTTATGTCAAGTTTAGTCCCTTTTATTGACCTCCAGAACCTAACCCTATGTTCCCCACTGATTACATGTAATTATATACAGTGGGGTATGCTATAACGAACGGATCCTACTACGAATATTCCTATAACGAACAGTTTTACCTATAAAAGTGAGAATGCTATAACGAACGAAACTCCTACAACGAACATTATTTAAAAAAATTTTTTTTTAATAATTTATTGTTTTTTTATTACAAGTATTAATGATGTTCTTTATTTCAGGGGTTTAGATGCATATTTATGCACTTTTTTACAATTTTTACAATTTTATATTATATTTTTCAGTGTTAAGTGGTTGTATTTGGGGGCCTGGAACGAATTAATCCTATAACGAACGAATGCTATAACGAACAAGGTTCTAGAACCAATTAGATTCATTATAGCATACCCCACTGTATCTTGATTTAGTATATAGTGAACATCCTTGGGCCCCATCTCACGATATATCCCGACCCTACTGTAACCTTAGGTTGCAGCTAATCAATTCTTGACTTTTCATCATCATTATCATCTTCATCACTGCTTTATGACCATTTTTCACACTTAAGTGATTACCTAATACTGTAGCAGCTCCCCATGTTACGTAGTCTCTTACAGACGCTCTCATTAAATTCCTATCTATGAGGTTTATTTTATAACCTCTTCCATATCATTCTTGGCCACCCCCTAGCTTTCCTCTCCCTAAATTCAAACTCGTGCATCTCTTGACCCAACTGGTTTACTCCATTCTCTCCACATGCCCAAGGGGCACATTTTCCAGAAAATTTCGAGAAAATTTTCCCAATACCTGGAAAATTCCGGGGATGGGGGAGTCTTTTCTGGATTTGAGAGATGAAAATCAGGCGTATTTTCTGGAAGTTCTGAGAAAAATTTTCTGTTACCCAGAAAATTACGGGGATCAGGGATATTTTTCCGGGTTCGAGAGATGATGTAATGGGCAATTTCTGGAACTTCCGAGAACATTTTTCCGTTACCCAGAAAATTCCGGGGATGAGGGATTTTTTCCGGCTTTGAAATAGTCGTCTCGTTACCCGGAAATGCTCTGCACCAATTGTTCCGGCTAACGAGGATATCACTGTATACATTTCTTTGCGCACGAGTAAAAATGTAACACCTCCCCCCACCCTCTGCCTGGTGAGCAAATTATATTTGCGGATTTGGCAATTCATGGCCATTTTGAGACCCATGCTGTACTCTCAATGCCCAGTTGCCCTCTTAGCTCTAAATAGGATTTCCTATGTTTCAGTGTCACATTACACATGCACCTCACCTCTCTCATTTCAACTTACACTATTTAAGCCTATCTATGTCATCCTATTTTAAGTGCCCATGTTTCATTGCCATACAATATCACACTTCTCACATCAGTTGCATACGTCTTTCCTTTCACAAAAAGAGAAGGTCCTCTTGCTGTTAAAAAAAGGCAGTACAAGTAGTTCCCTAAATTCCTTCCAGTCACTTATGAATCTTGCATCCACTTCCATCAATAATCATGTCATCCAGGTTGTAGAACTCGTGTGCCTTATGAATAAAGAAAATACTATACAGGGGGTCCCCGGGTTATGAACGGGTTCCGTTCCTGAGGACGTCCGTAAGTCGGAACACAAGCTATATGCATACTGTACTTAAAAAACAATGTTTAAAATCCCCCACTATATTATAGCCTAAATCCTTATATACATCTAAAATCACTTAATTCAAGACAAAAGAAGAAATAGAATGACAAAATACAGTAAATGAAAGTAAAAAATAAGTCATCAGGTAAATAAAATACTGCAAAGTTCAAGTTTAACCCTGTTTGTAAGTCGGGGACCTCCTGTATATTATACGTATAGTAATATAAAAACATATAAGAATAATTAATAGGTATATTCAGTGCAGGAGATGGTGTGTATATGAAAATAGCAGGCGGTTTATCAACACATCATGATTCCCCGGGCTACTGTATACCTCAATGCGGACATTTAAATCACGCATATGTTCCAATACCCCAAAAATGAAAGTTTAGGAAACCTATAACAAAAAAAAAAAAAAAAAATGTGCCTGGGTGTGTAGCCAGGGGGGTGAGGGAGGGAGGGAGTGCTGGCTGGACTGAGGAGACAACTTTTTCCAATGCTTGTCACCCCGCATTCCCTTTATAACAACAGTATTCAATTTCACCATAATTCCCATATAACAGTATGTATTTAGGTACATTTGGTGCCGGGTTAATAAAACATTATCGTAAAATAAGTGCATCCTGTTCATGCTTTTAAGCCTTGCTAGCCTCTCTCCTGGTCCTGCACTTGGTCTTCAGGTACTCCTACTTTTCAACACCTATCTTCCAGTCCTTAAACAATCTTCTTTTCTCCTCTATCCCCTTCATCACTCAACCAGAGCATAAAAAGTGATGATGTCAAATTTAACCCCTACGCCCCGGTTGACGTTCTGGAAAGTGTGCCCTTTCGCACCATTGTTTGAATGCCCAGCGCAGGTTATTAGGTTCTAGCGTGACTATTTGGTGGTCACGCCACACACAGGGTAGCATGGGTGGGCTCAGTGCGGTTAGTACGCATTAGCCTGTCGCCATGGAGTCGTCTCTCAACCTGGCGACAGACTGCGTGTGTGTTGCCAAGCACTTTTCATGAAAAATAATGCAAATAAAATAAATTCTTAATGAATTATTTATAGGAAATAAGTATTATGATCAGTAAATATATGCATTACTAGCCATCCCGGACACAAAGGCAAGCAGAAGATGGCCGCTAGGTGTGTAGTGACCACGAGCGTCAGCTGTCAAAACAACACTGTCCCCTTATCTCCCTTGCCACTGCTGCCCCAGGGAAGTTTCTAGAGGGTCAATATACAGTTTTTATTACTTCTTTTTTATTGTTTTATCATTTAAAAATGTAAAAAAAAGATTTTTGGGAAAAGTTGATTTTTTTTATTTACCCTGTGTGAGGGGTACGGCCAGCAGCACCCTAGCCCAGGGCGTAGGGTTTAAGTACAGTATTTCAATAATCAAATTCAACCTCATCATTCATATGAAATGAGAGAAAATATCTACTAATTCATAATGTTAATCAATGGAAAACTATGATTTGATTTTAATTTGATTTACAATAGGGTTTTCAGGAACGTCACTATTGTACCGTAATTGAAGGGTACCCGTAGTTTGGATCCTGTAATTGAAGGATGGACATAAAGCTACTATAATTCTTTAGTTACATGTTTGATAACTTCTGTGTCATCCTACCAACAAACTTAAGTAGAATATATCCATCCTAAGTGTGCAGTGAATCACACTGCAGCTATATATACAGGGCACCATATGGGAAGTAGTACTGTATCTCAAAGTAAAAAGGAATTACCCTGTAAATGTTAAAATTCGGTTTAAAAAATACTGAAGATGAATGGAAGCAAGCAAACACACACACACACACTCACAAAAAAAAAAAAATAAATAAATAAACATAAAAAATAACAGTAGAATCTCCATACCCAATAATAACTGATGAAGGAAGTTCTGTCTCTCTCTCTGGCTTATTATCCTCTTGGAGCATACTAGATGACTGCCTCAACTTCTTATTTTCCTCTAATAACTGCTTCCTGTTTTCTACAACACTCTTAAGCTGAGTTTCCAGAGTGGTGACCTGAGTTAGAAAAGAAAAAATCATCAATGAGCATTAATGATAAACAAAATATGAACATGACATGACATTTATAAGGCACAGGTGACACAATAATGACTCTTCAGTAGCCCACAGTGCATGAACCCAATGTGGTATACATTATGCCAAGGCAACTTAAGGTCTGCTGTTAACCTACTATGATGAATTGACACTCAATTACATCTGAACTGAATGGGATATCCAGAGTAAAGTTTATTGTAATTGGTGATGACCTAGCTTGATTATTGTACCCAGAACCCTAGAAGCTAACTAAGGTAAGCACTAAGCCACGAGTGTCACATTCTTAGTGATAGCTCTACTGTACGTATAAGGTTATTAAAAGGTTTCATAAATCAAATAAGGTCTAATTGAAAGTAGAACTTAACTAACTATAACTTGGCATGGATATCATTTATGTAAACAATAAAATAATACAAGATACAGGGTAACTCATTTAAAAATTAACACAAGTTGTGATAATAAAAATTTTGAGATTTTAGTAAGTGTAATTATAGGAGTACTGTATGTACACTCTAGGTTTCATAAACAAATGACAGCATATAAAACCTGCTGAAAGATTTTTGTTCCTTATCAGCATATACAGTGGTCCCTCGGTTAAAGAATTACCTTCCATAAGAATCTTTGATTCGGTTAATGAGCAAAAATTAGATTAACGAAATCCTTACGAACATCACGTTTTGTTGTGAGCAACAGCTGATCAGCTGATGGGCTAGTCTGTCAATTCAGTAATCTGTTCTATGTTTACATTCATTTCCAGTGGAGTAAATATTAATAAAGTTGTGCTCTTTAACATTTTTGCATGTTTTGTATATGCAGTACAGGGAACTAGTTTTTTGTGCACCCATCAGATGCTTGACTCAGCCACAAGGCGTCAGTTGGACTTTGTTTACAGTGGAGTGAACATCTATTTTGTTGGTGTCTTGAATATTTTTGCATTTTTCATTGAAATTATTGGTCATTCTGAAATTTAGTTAACATATTGATAATATATAGCACAGTGCAGTGTTGATTTAAATAAAATAATCTTGAATTGCACCACAAAAGTTCTTGAACACACTAACGCCCAGAGTTTTAATCACTCTCTTCCGTTGACTGGGGTCGTTGTGTTCACAACCAGTTTTAAAAAACTTGAGTCACGAAGGACATTACACTGCAGAGCTGAACATGGAGGTGTAGCAGTAAAATTAACTTATAATAATGGAATTACAGTACAGCGAACCATCAAAGATCCAATAAATAATGATATAAAAAAATCCAAAAATACAGTACTTATTATCCTGACCACTGGGGTTAATTATACAGACTTTTTCCTGTGAAAAAGTCATATTTCTTAGCAACATATTACTGTACTCACTTTGTACTCAAATGTACTACAGTACAGTACACTAAAGGACTAAAAATTTTATCTTGTGCAAACTACTATACTCAAATTATTTGCTATCTTACAAGGATTCCAGCAATGCAAGTTATATTCTGCTAAGTTTAGTCTGTGATATTTTATAAGATAAAATCTTTAAGCCTAAAACTACCTGTTTTGGGAATGCTTCTTAGGGAGGCTTCTTAGCCCAGAACCCCCAAATTTTGTGTTCATATCTACCGAAATCCGGATTTACAGGGTCCGAATCTTCGAGGGTTCACTGTAGTTCATTTTACTGCCACACCTCTCGTCAAGCACTGTAGTGCGGTGTGTGGGAGTAAACACGACAACTCGTCAATGGAAGAGGGTGACTAAAACTGGGTTTTAGGTTCATGCAATATGACAAAACGAATGAGAAATCTGAACATTGCTCTCTGAGGAAGTTTTATTGTAAATTAAATTACTACTTTTCACCTGTATATATTATACAGATGAGCAAAATATATTTCTTCAAAATGTTGAGCTGCTTTGCAACCAGATATAACAGCCATTCTTACAAGACATAAGCCATAGTGTTCATTCTAAAATGTGTCGTGACCCAATGTTTGAAAACTTTTTGTGGCGAATGTACAGTCTCGTTGAAGATTCCTCGAACCCTGCCGGAGACAGCTGGCAACACAAGGCTGTTTGTTTACTATAGTACGTAGTATAATATAATATGAAACAACAGAGCCCAACCATTAAATTAGGCAACGGGGAACTAAGTAATCGATCACTTTTACATTTATTCATAATTTTTACTTTGTACTATAGTAAACAAACGGCCTTGAGTTGCCAGCTGTCTCCAGCAGTGTTCGAAGAATCTTGAACAGGACTGTACATGCACACTATATTCTTGGTATTCTATACAGTATATCTCTACAGATTACGGGATATCCTTTAATCTTTTACCTTTTCCTCTAGTTCCTCAACCATATCACAAGTAAGTTTGTTCTGATCTTTAGTTCTTCTTAGATCATACAAGGCTTGGTTCAACCTTTCTTTGGCCTCCATACTCTCAGTGTTAACTTGGTCCTCTAAACACTTCAAGGTCCTGAGCTGCTCCTGTGACCCCTAAGAGATTAGAAAAGTGTCATGTTAATAAAATTGGTTATTAGGGGTATTATTTTGTGAAATTTGCACATACTGTACAGCGTAGGATAGTCAGATATCTCAGCCATTTTTTTTGTGTGAAATAAAACAAAGTAAGACTGTATATACCTACAGTTTAATTGATTTACACAATACTGTCTATACAATATAGCTTTGTCCAGTAAGTATACAAACAGACACTGACACATACAAACACATACAGTACACACATCAATAAGGATAATTATTCATGATGTCAACTAGTTCCATCCTACGAGGATGTACAGTCAACCAAAGATGCACTGACCCCACCATGGGTCTCATACTAGCAATTTTACTTGGCAATACTTGGTAAAGCAAGGCTGTATGTAATGGTGATTGGTGGATCTATTTTTGGCTGTACCACTGTCAGGATAAATATTTAACGAACCAAAGGCGGCATTTTTATAATAGTAAACTATCCTTTCACATTGCTCCAAAACGGCGAAGGCAACAAGCCTCTAGAAGAGGTTTTAACACCAAGCGACTGTTGGATTAAGCAGTAAAACATGCTTTCAGAGAGAAGTGCAACAAGGGGCTGTTAAACAAACCCAATAACAAACAACCTAAATCTGAATGCCAAATGGGGTATCCTCGATGTTGTTATCACAAAACCCTGCAGCGAAAGAAAACAACAGGACTGGTTTGATGAAAATAACCAGGAATTCAATGGACTCATAGATGGTAAAGGTGCTGCTTTCACTGACTGGCAGAACAACCCCCCAGTTTCAGATCAAAGCTGATATCTTCCGCCAGAAGAAAGCAATGGTCCAGAGCAAACTTTGCCATCTAAAGAACGAATGTTGGAAAAACAAAGCGTTTGAAATGGAAAATTTTTTGTATCAACACAAGATGTGTGAATCTTTCAATTCCACAAAAACAATGTATGGCCCAACCACTCATGGAACAGTCCCCCTCCGCTCATCTGATGGTAACTCACAATGAAAGATGAAGAAGGCATTTATCAGTGGTGGAAAGAGCAATACCATTTGCTGCTCAACTGAAACACCAAAGTGGATGTCCTGACTACCCAGCAGGTCCCTCAGCACCAAGAGCTGACCCACCTCAGCTATCCTACATCCCATGATGAGATAGCTACTGCCATCAAGCAGATGAAAAATAACAAAGCCACAGGGCTTGATGGAATCCCAGCTGAGGTGTATAAAGCAGGAGGACCTCTGCTTACCAGCTGTCTCATCTCACTCCTGGAGAATATAAGGGAGAAAGAGGAAATCCTCCAAGCTCTTAAAGATGCCTCCATTGTCAATATTTATAAGAACAAGTCCTCCTAAACAGACTTCTTTATGAGGCAGAAAACTTCCTCCTAGAATCTCAATGTGAACTTAAGACCATTACTTGGCACTTCTGACATGAGCTTTACTGCCTGCCAGATACAGGAAAAGTGCAGAGAACAACATCATGACTTGTACATGGCCTTCATCAACTTTACTAAGGCCTCGACTCGGTCAACAGGGAAGACCTCTAGCAGAACCTCATTGGTTTTGGTTGCCCACCAAAATTCATCACCATTGTGAGGGAACTCCATGATGGCATGAATGGCAGTGAACAGCACCCAGTCTGAGTTCCTTCCCATTCAAATAAGAGAAAAACAAGGGTGTGTACTGGAACCAACTCTCTTTTACATTTTCTTGGCTGCCTTCCTTACTTGTGCCAGTGCCATTTAGCCAGCGGGATGGACATCCAGTAACGGACAAATGGACTTTTCAACATAAGACGACCCACCACCATGGACATCGATGAAAAGGGATTCATCAACGGATCAGATGCGCAACTTAAGTCTTTGGCAGATTCTGTACCCGTGTCTTCAGGTGTAGGGAGATGAAATTATCTACAAAGCTGCTTTTATATCAATCAGTGGTCCTCCCCACCCTGCTTCATGACAACGAGACATGGGTCACATACGGTATAGGAGGCACACCAAGGCATTTGAAAACTTTTACCAAAGTAGTCTACATTCCATCCCACGAGTTCGCTGGGAAGACAAGAGAACAAATGCCAGTATTCTTGCTGAAACCAACTGTAGGAGCATGGAAGACAATAAATTCCCAAAACAACAGCTACTTTACAGTCACCTGACGAATGACAGACTTAATGCTGGTGGGCAACAGAAAATATATAAGGATAGTCTTAAGACAAACCTGAAAAAGTGCCAAATCAACCTGGCAGACAATCACTCCATACCATAACGCTTGGAGGAGCTTCATATGAGAAGGTGTCAATACTTCCAAGTTAGCCGGACTGCATACCAAGGCAGACAAATGTCACAGCCGGAAAGAAGCTGTAGCCGCCTCTCCCACACTAGATGGCCCTGCTGGTCCCATATCAGCCTCCTGAGTCACCTCAGAGCTGACCAACAAAGGTGACATCTTTAATAACTCATATCATTGTATCATAGCTAGATGATTGTCATACTCGATCTCGAGTGACAGTACAGTAGACTCGCAACTTACGCGTATTTTTCTGACCCGGTTTCAACTATACGCGGATTACCCCGGGGATTAGGTTACAATTTCCAATTTCAAGCTCAAAACTTTCAAAATGGGTCGCACGCCCGCCAAACGCACCACCCCGCCACCTCTCTGTCTCAGTTGCCGCGCGTGTATCATCGGATTAACAGCTGCCTCTCGTGTGTGTCAATTTAGTGCACTTAAACCTCTCTCATACTCGTTTATAATGCCCAAACACAAGCCAACCTCTGCCTCTGGTCCTCCAGTGAAGAAACAACGCTCTGTGATGACCCTGGAAGAAAAAGTGGCCGTGTTAGACTTAATAAAAGGCAGCATGTTGATCGCTGCTGTGCCATGGAGGAACGTGCGGAACAAATCAAGCGTGAGTTCCATCAAGATTCGGGAGAGGGAAATTCGCGAAACCATGTCCACAAGTGCCTCATTTACTGCCAGGTTAGAGACGTAAATCTAGTGAAGGTGGAGAAGGCTATTAAACATTTAGGTGGAGGATATGAACCAGAAACGTGTCCCCATCGATGGCAACGTGCTCAGGGAGAAGGCACCGAGTCTTTATGACCAGTTTAAATCTGAGGTTCCTCAGGGAGAAGCATCCACCAGCTCTGAGAAGAATTTTAAAGCCAGTGCAGGTTGGCTCAAAAGTTTCTGGAAGCATTTCAACCTGAAAAATATTACTCACTGGAGAATCGGCACAGGCGGACGAGGCAGCTGCATGGGTGTTCCCAGAAGGATTCAGGAAATTGATTGAGGAAAATGGGTATCTTCTAGAGCAGGTCTTCAACGCTGACGAAACAGGTTTGTTTTGGAAGAAAATGCCAACCAGAACCTACATTTCCAAGTCTGAGAAGCAGGCCCCTGGGTTCAAGGCTGCGAAGGACCGTGTCACTGTCCTGCCATGTGGCAACGCAGCAGGGCATATGATAAAGCCAGGCTTGATTTATAGGTCTGCCAACCCTCGTGCTCTGAAGGGGAAAAAAAATAGAATCTCCTCCCTGTCTACTGGCAGTCAAACAAGAAAGCCTGGGTGACAGCAATGCTTTTCCTTGAGTGGTTCCACAAATGTTTTATCTCCGAGGTAAAGAGCTACCTAGAGAAGCTGGGCCTGCCTTTCAAAGTGTTGCTGGTCGTTGACAACGCACCAGGCCACCCAGATGCCATAAAATTTGCACACGATGATGTCGAGGTAGTGTTCCTTCCACCCAACAACACCTCCAGCCTCTCAACCAGGGCGAGATTCAATGGTTTAAGACAGCGCACACACGCCTCACCTTCGTCCGCATTCGCAATGACATGAAAGATGGCACTAACAACAGTGTTATGGCATGCTGGAAGGATTTCAACATTGCTAATTGCATCAGTTTTGCGAAGGAGGCCATGGATGCACTGAAACCAGAGACAGTTAATTCGTTTTGGTGGGCACTGTGGAGTGACTGTGTGCGTGACTTCAAAGGATTCCCTACGATTGACTCTGAAGTAAAGCACACCGTGAAGGTGGTCAGGGCTGTGGGCGAGCAGGAAATAGAGGAGTTAATTGAAGGGCAGAAGGAAACTCTGACTGATGGTGAGTTGGGGGGAAATAGTGAGAGCGGACGAAGAAGGCGGCGACGGCGGTGGCAACGATGATGAAGAACAAGAAGAGCCAGCATGTTGGGATATACACAAGGTTAGTGAAGTGTTTCAGGTGGCCGAGCACTTGAAAAACTTCGTGTCTGAGTATAACCCCTCTATGAAGCGCAGCATCAACTTCTCACGAGGTCTTACATGCCTTATGGCTCAGGATAAAAATATGTTCCAGCAGCTTGAGAAACAACAAACAACAGCTTCCCATCACCATGTTCTTTAAGAAAACCTCAGCATCAACATCTTCAGCAGATCAGCCAATGCCCTCAACTTGTCGCAGTGACTTTGAGCTGCACACATCCTCTGCTGTATCGTCATCTGAGCTTGATGATCCCCCCACAGTGACATGGGAAGGGGATGAATAATCTCAAAACAACAACATATGTCTGTCTACATAATGTCTGTGTTCTATTAATGCTGTTATGGAATTGTTACAGATGTTGATATTACATTACAGTAGTGATTTATGAGTTCTAGTGTATATGTACGTATATATAGTGATTTAAGGGCGATTTAGGGGATTTTTAGGAGTGTTTCTAACTTTTAATTATTTTTTGGCTTTACGCAGGGTCCCAGGAACATAACCCCCGAGTCTACTGTAGTAATAATAGTATGTAGTGATTGTGTACAGTATGTGGTCTTAGAATTATCTTTAACACTTGAAGGTGTTAATGTTGGTGGATGTAGCTTGACACTGACAATCTGAATGTCCCTTGCAGTCTGATAGGCCTAACGCCCAAACAACCAACCAAACAAGAGGGTGCATGTCTGGGGAGGTGTCATATGGACTTAACTTTCCATTACATTAGTTATCTATGCCTTTACAGGGGGTCCCCG